TGTAACCATAACACCACAGGTACATAGAGCTAAGATTCCTTGACCAAAGGTAGAAGGAGGAGGAGGAGGAGGAGGAGGAGGAGGAGGAGGAGGAGGAGGAGGAGGAGGAGGAGGAGGAGAAGAAGAAGAAGAAGAAGAAGAAGAAGAAGAAGAAGAAGAAGAAGAAGAAGAAGAAGAAGAAGAAGAAGAAGAAGAAGAAGAAGAAGAAGAAGAAGAAGAAGAAGGAGAAGAAGAAGAAGAAGAAGAAGAAGAAGAAGAAGAAGAAGAAGAAGAAGAAGAAGAAAAAGAAGAAGGAGAAGGAGAAGGAGAAGGAGAAGGAGAAGGAGAAGAAAAGTGACATATGTATAGCGCCTTCTCTTCAAAATATTTCAAACTCAAGGTGCTCCAAAAAAAAAAGTTGGGTCTTAAAATCACCTGTTCATAGCGTAGTGGATAGTGTCTTCGTTATGAGTAGCGATGATGAATTTCACCGTCTCTGCATCTTCAGCAGCTCGCTCCAGCAAAAGGTCAAGGCAGCGATGGTAATTTTCACATGTCATGTCAAAAGTCTCTTGGATGGGATCAGGGTAACCCTTCTCGCTAGCCAGCCTCCTTTCCTTGACCATATAAGCCCCTCGCACCAGTTTTGCTCCAAAGCAGACGCCCTCTTTGTCAGCCTGAGCCAGGTCGTCCTTCAGCAGTTGGTGTGTGGTCTGTCGTGGTGAACGAAATCAATACTGGGAATTTTGTTTTATCTAAGCTCCACAAAACGCCACAGAGATTTTTATGAGCATTTTTATGCTTACACAGAACACGCAGAATGGGTGTGGGAGCAGAGAGGGGGTGGGGAGACAGTGATATATATATATATATATATATATATATATATATATATATATATATATATATATATATATATATATATATATATATATAGATATATATATATATATATATATATATATATATATAGAGAGAGAGAGAGAGAGAGAGAGAGAGAGAGAGAGAGAGATAGAGAGAGAGATATATATAGAGAGAGATATATATATAGACAGAGAGATAGGGGACTCTCTTGAACTTATCGTCCAGCTCAGTACTGAGTACCATCTAGTTATGGGAACCCCTCTCCAACTCATACAGCTCACAGCTTCTACTGGGGTCCTATCAAGCCATCTAGTTGTGGAAACCTCTCTCCAACAAAGACAAAAAAACATTTTAATGGGCCTACGGCAGTCCTAAGCCTGCAAACCAACTCCAGTTGGGAACTCAGAAGGGAATGTTTTTTTAATAACCCACCCCCACCCCAAGAAAAAAACCAACTCAGCCTGAGTGGTCGGTGGGTGCTCTGGTGTGGTTTGTGCCTCTTTCCTGTTAAACTTCTATTGTCCTTATAATATCTCTCCTATTCTTTGTATGTTACCCTCCAGTACTTACTTTCACTTTTTCTGTCCTCTTATGCCACAAGGTGTGGAGGGGAGGTCAATTGTTGGATTTATGCTAGGTGTTTTGATCATCATGCTGTTCCTCTGGATGGTCTCTTTGACTTCGTTGATCCATCTTTTTCTTGGCTTTCCTTTTGCCATGAAGTTGAAGCCATCAAATCACAGTGGGTGGTTGACGGGTGCCTTTGTGTGGTTTGCTTCTTCTTTCCTATCAAACATCTACCATCTTTATCTTTCCTCCTTCTTTTTTTTTGTGTTTGTTACTCTCTTGTAACACCTCTAATCTTCGGCACTTATGACCTTATTCTGTTGTAAGTGCCGTAACACACTTACTAAAACTAAAACTAATCTGTTTTGTCTTCTTTATCGCCAGCAATGGTACTGATACTGATACATGGTTTCTATTTGGTCACTTTTTTAGCACAAGGGGCCTGTCCCGAAAAATGCTGTTTTGAGAGAATCGAAGGTAAAGTTTTTGCCACTTGTTCAGTTTCTTTAAAAGACATGGAGAGTTTTCTCTATAAAAGGGGCCGTTCAAATATAATCTTACGCCTGAGGAGGGGGGGCAGGTCTTTGGTTCCTGTAAGAAAAGTGTAGGGGGGGGGGTCTTTAACTAATGTAATATTATACTTTTGTTAGGGGGAAAAAATATTTTCGACATAATGATGAACTCTGCATTTGTTGATGATAACTAATTTCACTTTTTTTTCACCATAAATGATCAGTAATAACATAGATACAGTGGAATCCTGATAAAGTCAACTTGCTTACAGTCAACACCTCACTGTAGTCCCGTTTCTTACCTTCTTTGTTTAAGTTGAAGTAATTGTGTTTCTGATTTTCTGATACAGTCTACCACTTGAGTATTAACCTTTCGTGAAGTCAACAATTTGGGGCTAAATCCTGAGGTGAATTCATTCTAGAAGAGGTATTTCGCCTGAGCAAGTGGTGTACACACCACCAATTACATATATATGTACTTTGTTCTTTCATTATCTCTTGTTTTGGTGACAACTTCAGAATTATACTCCCTGAAATTGAGATTACATCTTGTTTATTACGAGGTACTTTGTCATTTTGTAGCTGTCATCTTCAATTTTTAATGGCACTAGTACAATGGATAAAGTCAACCTTGCTCAAAGTCATCCCCTTTTTTTCTGTCCGGGGTGTTGACTTTATCAGAATTCCACTGTAACTTGTTTTGTTTTTTAATTAAAGCGCTTTTGTCATACGTGAGTCTCAATTTTTTTCCTTTTTATTAGTAAAAAAGAGTGTGTATTAGGTACCAGAAACTAAATTTTCAAACTAGCTGTATGCCAAATTTATCTGTTTCATTTGAAAGGCCTAGATCTATATCCACTGAGCATTTTGGTACCATTGTTTAACCTCTCCGTCAATTTTTAAGAAAATTGTAGTTGTTTAAAATTTGATCAAATTTGTTAAAGTCAGTCACTGGTTGCAACCCCATGTTTGACAGACAATAAAAATGTAACAAGTGCACTAAACATCTCCACATTAACAGAGTACAATCACTATAACAAATATATGGAGCATAATTTTTTTCAAGACTGTGAGATATTTACAAATCAGTAGCCTACTTTATCACCTCAAACACGATATCTGTCGTTATTTCGACAAAAACACCGAGCTTTGACCCGGCCGGCGTCGCACCGGCCCCCGTGGCGAGCGAGTCGGCTCTATACTGTAGTGTACCCCGCGTGCGGGGTCACATGCTTTATGAGATTGATGTAAAATAATTCCAATTTAATTACTTTATTCTAATAGGAAATAAACTGATCTTTTAATTAATACTTTTTATAAGCCGGTATTTTACATATTTTGTGTAAAAAGTGATCTTTAAACATTTTGACGGTATTTTAAAAAGCTTTCTATAAAGACGCCAAAGGCCAGTCTATATCACGGGAAAGCCCGTTTAAAGCTCTACAGTTCTCCGCCAATGAAAAGACGGTATTTAATCATCCCTCGTTCCGCGAAGCATTTGAATGCACGCGTGTCAATTTTTCAACCGGCCGACCTCGCATTCTGACCGCGAGGGGCTTCGCTTTCGTCGGCGATTCTCCGGCTCCTAATAATCGGACATATAAACAACTTACACCACTGTAACGAGGAAAAGCTGAACTTTTACAAGGTGTACGGCATGTGGTGTTTTATAGCGAAAGAGCAAAGAAAGAGCGATCGGAATTAACCCGATTTTACCGATACCACGCGGTCGGAAGGCCGCGAGTGCCCGCGAGGCCATGTTTACGCTACCTATGTGTATGCAATAATTTCCTTGAATGATTTACTCTAATTGTGAGGCAGCGTGGTGAAATCAGGCGCTCGTCAAAATAATGAAAGTGAAAAAAAAACCCCTGGCATTTTTCCACAGGTTTGGGAACTTTTATTGAATTTTCCCCCGCGTTAAACACCTTTTAATCCATACTGAAAAACGTTCATTACATGCCCAAAATTTGTGATTTTTCAGTTTAAAAGGCTCTCAAGCTATTGAAGTTATCCAACTTTGGCGGCCGTTTTCTCACGAATTTTACTTCTGAGATCAGGTGATCCCACCTCCTTCAATCACAAATGTAAGAAAAGTGTAAGAAAGGGGGGGGGGGGGGGTCAAAAAGTGCCCAAAAAGGTGTAAGATTATATTTGAACAGCCCCAAGCCAAACAAATATGCACACCAATGAAACCAAACTTGTCCTTTTGGTTGGGCAATGCCCACTTTTGGTGTAGGTCAAGATTTCTGGAAACGCCCAAAATTCTGGAAACCCCCAAAATCTGGGTTAGCCCGCTTGTCCTTAAAAGCGATCATTTATTGGAATCCATTGTAAGTAAATAAAAAGTTTTTGGTTTGTTTTAGTTGAGGGTTTTTTACGGCGCTCGCAACTGCATAAGGTCATATGAGCGCCAGAAGAATAGACGTGCTACAACTACAACAAGAGAATAACAAACATAAAACAGAAGAAGGGGAGATAAGGACGATAGATGTTTGATAGGAAAGAAGAAGCAGACCGCACCAGAGCACCTGCCAAACACCCACAAATTTATAATAAAAAGTTTGCTTGTGTAAAAAATGGGGGGTGGGGGTGGGGGGTAATGTTTTACTATGTATTTCTGTTTTTTGTTTTGACTCTTGTGTATGTGTGTGTGTCTTTGCTTTGTGGGTGGCTTGGGGCCGGCCCCCACTTGTCTAGAACTTTTTCTTTGCTGCCTCTCAGTTGTTTCTGTCTCTCCATCATACTTGTTTCTTCCGACTACACCTCATGTACTTTGTTTTCTTTTACTGTGGGTGGTTGGTGGGTGCTCTGCTCCTTCTTTCCTATC